GTGTACAGGTTGTTGGCCTGCGAGACGTCCCGCCGCCGCCCGTTGACCTCCACGGGGTCCTGGGGGCTGCCGCACGCAAACACGCAGCGCCCGTTGGTCGCCGCATACGCCTCCTCCGCGGTGCACTCCTGCGCGGCAGCAATGGGGGTTGAAGGGGGGAAGAGCAAAGGCGTGCTTGGGTGCGCTCACAGGTGCGGCGTTGCTGTAAGCGCGGGCTCAACATTCATGCTGAATGGCAAAACCCACAGGGGCCTGCACTGAATGCCAAAAAAAAACAGCACCCACAGGGTGGTATGAATGTGTGTTGGGCCGGCCGGCATGCAGTGCAAGGGCAGCAAAGCGGGGCGCACCATCCTGCTGGTCGGGTTTGACATGGGGAAGATGATGGGCCGCTCGCAGTGGGCCGCGACCTCCTGCAGCACCTCGCGCGTGAACAGCTTGCCGGCGCCTGCGCGGGCGGCGCGCGCGGTGCACACGTGCGTGGAGAAACAGAGGAGCGACGAGCAGCGCACGCTAGGCCGCCCCAGCTGGCGACGGCGGACAGGGCAGGGGGCAGAGCCGGAGCTCGTGCTTGAGCCTTGCAGGCCCAGCGGCCGCGCACTCGCGCACAAGCGTGCAGCCTTGCCAATCAAGACCAGGCAGCAACAACCCTGTCGTCCCAGCAAAGACGAGTGACGGAAAGATGGACCGTGCAACCCCGGGGTCGCTCCACCGCTGCTGCCTTGGGAGCCTCGTGCTCATGGGCCCCAGCCCTTGGTGGCTGCACCACCCACCTGCGAGGCCCAGAAGCACCGTGGGTTTGACCTGCTTGACCACCTCCAGCAGGCGCTGCCCCTCCAGGTCCTTCTCTGGCCGCGCGAAGCGGCGCACGTGCGGCGGCAGCTCGGGCCTGGGGGAGGGAAGAGGCGTTTGTATGGTTTTGTGAGTGTGTGTGTGCGTGTGTGTGTGCGTGTGTGCGTGTGTGTGTGTGTGACCCTGTCAAAACGTGATGTCAAATAGCATGCGACGAGACGGCAGTAAGGCAGCAGGATGTTGCATGCTTGCTATCCATCCACTGCAAACAAGAGCAGCCGCCACAAACGCGGCGTGGCGCAGTTGTGAGCGCTCTGCTGGGCCAGCGTCCGCCAGTCTGTGCATCACTGGCACGGCCGGGGGTGAATGCAGCGGGCAAGGTACCCCGCGCCGCGCGGCGCCACACACAGACCTGGCGTCGGTCACGAGTCCGTGCGCATCGATGACCCAAAAGTTTGCCGCGGCCTGGTGGGGGTTGAGGCCCTGCACCTCCATGGCTGCAGCACGGGGGAGGGCGAAGGCAAGGGTGCGCAGGTGCGCGTGCAAATGCGTGTGGGGAGGCGGACACATTGCTGGTGCGACAGATCATATTTCAACTTGCACTTGGTCTAGCTGCCAGGAAGCCAGCTTTGCAGAATGCTGAGATGCGCTGCACGCTGCAAGCCGTCACATTTATTTGATCTGAGCTGCTGCGGGACAAGGGGCGGCCTTGCGCCGCCCCTTGTCCTACTGGGAGTGGATCGTGGGGCGAAGCAGCAGCGCCGCGGCGGCGCACCGTTGGCGATCATCCCGACCACGCCCATGCCGGCTGACCCGGCGCCGACGCACACCACGCGCTGCGCCGCGAGGTGCGGCGGCTCGCGCCCCAGGGCGCGCAGCGCGCCGTACAGGCCGGCCACTGCGGTCGAGGCGGTCCCCTGGATGTCGTCCTGCGCTCGCACGCGGCGGGTTGGCGGCAGGACGGCGGCAAGAAGTTGTGGGGTTGCACCAGGATGGCGAGATGGTATGGTGGGATCCCGGCAGGTTTGCAGGAAAGAATGCTGGGAGCGCGGCAGGATTGTGGCGCAGCAGGGTGCAGATGAAGGGCAGGGCGTGGTCAGGGCGTGGGTGCTGCGCGGGTGGTCGAGGAGCAGCGCGGCTGAATTCTGGAAATGTCAGGGCGGCAGAGGAAGGGGGGGCGTGACAGCCATGGCTTGACTCCATGGACACGTGCTACAGGCCCCAGTGCCACGTCTCTCACGTTGAAGACAAGGTGGTGGTCCCGATAGCGTTTGAGCAGGGGCAGCGCGTGCTCGATGCTGAAGTCCTCAAACTGCAGCACCGCCTCGGGCCAGCGCGACGTGACCGCCTTGACAAACTGCGGCGATGGCAGGGGGCAGCGAAGGGGTTTCGCAGTGGGTTTCATCCAGCAGGTGGATGGGTGGGCTTGGGTTAGGGCGCACGAAAGAGGCGATTGACCAGTGTGAGGCGCCTGTTTGCTCCACACTCGCCCTCCGCCGGCCGGCAAGAGCGTTCCCAGCAGAGAGCCTTGTGCTCACGGATTTTGCTGGCCCCTCCATCCCACACCTTCAGCTATTAAAACCGTTTTCACTTTCCCAACAAACACACGACATCAACGCCAATCGGCTCACAATCAGCATCAACCGGCCCACCGCCCAAAACCGCCCTCCGGCAACGCGGCCGCGCCCACCCACCTCGTCCAGCAGCTCGTAGTAGGCGGTGCCCCCGATCCGCCGCTGCTTGAGGCCAACGTACAGCGGGTCGTTGAGCAGACGCTGGTTGTTGGTGCCCTGAGGGGTGCGTCGTTGCACATGCGTGCGTGTGTGTGTGTGTGTGTGTGTGTGTGTGTGTGTGTGTGTGTGTGTGTGTGATATAGAGAGAGTGGGGGGGGGGGGTGAATAGGTGTTGTCGTTTCTGTGAGTGTGTGGATGCGGGGGAGCTGATGTCATGCGAAATTGCGGGCAAGCGCTCCCGAGGTGCGCACAATGGCTGGGCCGCGCAAAGGGCAGTCCTGCGGCTCACGTGCAGCGCGCACTCAGGGGCGCGGCCGCTCTCCGATTCCCACCTTCCAAGGCCGCAGAGGGCCTCAATCTGGACCCACAAAACAACGGTTCCAACCCTCACCACGTCGATCACGCAGGGCAGCACGTGGTCGGGGTGGAACCCGGCAGCCGCCACGTACAGGTCTTCAGATATGTGCGGGCGTCAGGGCAGGGGATTGGGTGGGGTCAGCGAGCGGGCGACAGGCTGGCTGCCTCTGCAAAGGTTGAGCCGCTGAACGGCTGAGCGCGCCTGGGCGTCTCTGTCGTAAGTTGGTCACTGCCATGAAGCCACGCACAGGAAATCCGCGCGGCTGGGACCCCAACCCGTATGAGCGTGCCCGAGGGTGCCGCCGTTCCCCCTCCCTCGTCCCATGAGTTCGGTGTACGTCAAGGCGTGCCCGCTCATGTGCGCACCCAGCTTCCCAATGGGAATGCCCAGGCCGTTTGCCCCGAGGTCCCCCAGCCCCAGGATGCGGCTGCCGTCGGTCACGACGATGGCGCTGACGTGTGTCTGAGGGGGGGGGTGGCGGTCGGTGGACGGGCATGGGAGGCGGCTTACGGGCAGGTGCTCGGCACGTGGGGGCGCGAGGATGGCGCGCGGGAGTCATGACAGGGACTTGTATGTGTTGATCTGTGGGCAGACGCTGCAATCGGGAAATCCACGTTGTGATTGCCAGCTGCATGACATGGTCGACGCTATTTCTGTCGGTTTAGAGGCACTAAGATGAGATAAGATGAGATCACCTGGGGCCAGTTGTAGATCATGGAAGCAAGCTGGCCCTTGTCATCAAGATTGAAGAACATCCCGCGGGGCCGCCGCCAAAGAGTGTGGAAGTTGCTGTTTGGAGACAACAACACCGCAGCAGAATTCAAACGATTCAGCATCAGTACTCACGTGCGGAGCGCTTTTCTAGATTTGCAGCTTCAGACGCATCCCAGCTGTGCAAGCTGTGGTCGTCGGAGTTTGCCGCCTCAAAATTCAAAAACGGCAGGCTTGAGATCTGCAAAGACGCACCTGCAGACCCAGCCGACAGTGGGTGTGTAGACGATGGGCGCCAGCTTCACAAAGTGCTCCACCAGTACCCGGTAGTACAACGTCTCATTGCGCGCCTGATTCCATCCATTGTGCAGTTCGGGGGGCGGTTGGCCGGTCGGTTGGGCAGCAGCCGCGCGGGAGTCTAGCTGCCCAAGGGTCAGCACATAGCTTCAGTGCTCTCAAGCCAGACGGCCCAAAACATGCCGGATACCCTTTGTGCGCTTGGCTGCCTCGCCCAGGCCTTGAAGCGGGCTCAGGCCCAGGGGCCAAGGAACCCTTTCAACACCAGCTGCCTCTGCCGGAGGGGAGCGAGACCTCGGATGGCTGCCTCCCTCCCGAAAGGAAAAGCGCCCCACCTGCAGCCCCTGCAGCACGCGCCACTGCCGCTCCATGTCGCGCGTGATGCCGGACCCGACCTCCTCCGGCGGGATCTGGTCCAGCCCGTGGTTCAGGTCGCGCATGACGCGGTCCAGCTGGCGATGCCACAGCGGTTAAGATGGGTGGTGAGTTGGGCGGCAGGGCGCGGGACGTGAGGCTGAGCTTGTGTTTGACAGCAGTTGGCGCAGCCAAGGCACCTCTGGCAGGTAAAGGCCAGTGCATCAGCAATTGCCAGCCACCACCCACGCATGCCGGTCTGCCCAGGCACGCGTGCACGCTTGTACACGCGCGCACATATAGCCACACCAACCAGGCAAACGCACACGCGTGCACAGCCTGGTCGCACCTGAAGGTCCATCGTGCTCACAGTCGCTGGCAGCAGGCCCCGCAGCCCCAGCCGTTCGCGCTCGCACATTGGGAATGCCGTGCCTGCGGATCAAACCAGGGACGCACGCGCAATCACATCAAATATTGCAGGTGCGGCGCGGCCCAGGGCCCACCGCCTGCCCTGCATGGCCGAAGCAAGGCATGGGCCTTGGCACGTGGCACCCTACGCTGGGCACAGAGTTGGCTGAATCTGCGCTTTTCCTTTGGCAGCACCATGCTTCAAACCTTTGTTGAGGCATGGGTCCTGTGCGTGTGTTTGTGGGTGGGTGAGTATGTGAGTGTGCCAAGTGGGTGCTTGCCATGGGCGCAAAGGGCGAGCGCGGTCGAGGCCCCCCCAACAACCCTAGTCGCTGCGAATGGGGCGCCCTGTGAGCAAGCTGCATGCGCCTGCAAGGGCATGCGGCGGCACACGCATGCGTTTGCATACAGCTGCTTCGCTGCCATGCGCCCTGAGGCGCGCTCGTCCGGCCTCTCACTTGGAGCACGTCGAGCGAGAGCTTGTGGCAGATACGGACTGGCTCTTGCACCTGGTTGGGGCGGAGGCGGGGGGTGTGGTGTGTGGATGCGCATGGGTGCGCGTGCGTGCGTGCATGCATGTGTGTGTCTTCAGCAGCTGGATGAGGGGTTTGAAAGGAGGAGGGATGACGGCGACGCCGCTGCCAAAGCGGGCACACGAAGCTGACGTGGATGCCTGTGACAACCCCGTCGTCGCCTGGGCCCGTATACAGACCGCATCCTTCAGGCATGCATGTGTTCATCAGCATTGCGTTGCAGGGGCTCAATGGCACTCACCAAGGGCTCGTATTCGGTTGTGGGCGGATCATCGTCAGCAGCCGCTGCCTTGCCGCGCCACCACTGCAGTTGCTCATGCTGGTTCGCCAGTGCAGCGTGACAGACGCCGACTTGGAGCCCTGTGGGCCCCCGTGCCAGCAGCCTCAACATAATGTATAGTTTTTGAGCTGCTTCAGCAGGTTCGCGTTAAGCCTATATCTCCAAAGCGTACGGAATCATTCGCTTCGCAGATCTGGTAGGTTTTGACGATGGACTGCGCAGAAATACGTACATGGCCGAATGAGATATGATAAGCATAGTTCTTGCACACATCTGACAGCCATTGGCGGGCCACAGTAATGGGCACGATGACGCCATTGCCGATGCTGCTGGAGTGAAGTGCCTGCTCGGCACTGGTCGGAACATCAGGCAAACTGCCCCAAATGCGATTGCAGATGGCACAACAGCAAGAAAAACATATGAACAAAACCCGATACAATTAGAAGTATACCTCAACTACCTTGGAGCCGTAGTCGGCCGTCACCGTCTCATAGGGGGCTTGAATCATTGAAGTGGCAAGCAGCAGAGTGCTCAAAGCGAGCGGGGTGTCGCTGCCCAGTGATGCTATGATGGTCCTGATGTTGTGTGGCCAAAATTACGCATGCTTTTCGCAGCCATGAGTGCTGCGTGTGTTGGCATGATGGGAAAGTCAACCCAGCCGAAGGTTCAAAGGTGCGTGTGGGCGCATGTGGGCGAGTGTGAAAAAGCAGCAGTGTGGAATTGCACGCCGTTGTCCATCACCGTCATGACAAGCGTCACCTTCTAGGTTGTATCCTTCAAATCCATCCATCGCTGCACACATTGATCTGATCGACGTCCACGACGCGAAAACCAATGGCGCACTGGCGGTCTAAAATTGCTAGCTAATTATTTATGATAGATGCGTTCATTCGAGGTTCAGTGAAGGCACCATTTGCGCTTGTAAATCTGGTGGGGCGCTGCACCTGCTGTCGCGCTTCAAAAGCGTGCGCGCGGCTCGAGCTGCGATGAGGCGGCATCACAGCGATGAGACAAACGAGACGCCGCAACAGCTGCCCTCTCTTGCGGCAGCCTTTGCCATCTCTGCCCTCGCCGGCCTGCTCTTCTTCAACTCTGTGCATGCGTTGGGCGCTGGGGCCGCGCTGGCGGCGGTGCGATCGGCGGCACGGGGGTCATCTCCTCAGCACGCACTGGCAGCGGCCCATACCTCGCCGTCCGCGCTGGAGCCGAGCCTGCAAATACTGCTCGAAACGAGGGTGTGCGGCAGCCCCGCCGTGGATGGGTGAGCGCCGGCCGCCAGCCTCCCACTGGCCGCGGGCCTCAAACATGCTCGGCACCACCGGCACCCCGCCGCATGCCTCGCCAAGCCGCGCATGGTTACCTGCTGCACAGCTTCCCTCATTCCAGGCGTAAGCCTCCTGTCGCCTGCAGGCGTTTGCAGAGATGCAAATGTTGTATCCTGATCCACTGGCCCACACTCGCGCCACCTCAGGTACGCCCACGTGGAGGCCAAGTGCCTGCTCGCCTCCCCCACAGCCAGGTGACGCACGGGCCGATCGCAACCGGCAGTGCAGCTCTGCGGCCTCTCCCATCACCACCGCCACAACAACATGCGCGGCACCCGTGACCCCACCAGCAGCCGCCGTGCCCCTGAACGCCCGCGCCTTTGCCGACAAGCCCGCTTATCGCCCCAATCGCTGCAGGTGGTTCCGCCAGTGGGTGACGGGCGGGGGCGACCCGTCAACCCTGGTGGTGCACCTCGAGCACGCCTCTGACATTGACGGGATTGCGGTGAAGTGGGGCATAGGTGAGAAGTTCTGAGGGTCGGTGACGTTTCAATCCATGTCTTAAGACAAGGATTGTTGCAGGAGCCAGGGAAAAGGCAAGGTGGGAAAGAAGACGCACAAAATTGCTCATGTCTGTGCGTGCACGCACATGTGCTTGCACACGTCCCTGCAGGGAATAAGTACTCAACGCCCGAGGAGTGCGCCAAGGACTGCTGGTGTGTTGAGCCGCAAGCTTCAAGCGCACCGGCCTGTGTTGCTGGAGCTGGATGATTGCATAAACTGGGTCCAGCAGGCAGGCCGGTCCTGCAGCAGGCTGCTGGGCACAATGGCAGGGCATGACGGACATGCCGGTGCACAGGCGCCGGGCTGGCGTAATTTACCAGCCGCCTTCGTGTTATGGTGCATCCCCTGTGCTATACCCGGCACCTGTACGGTTTCCCAGGTCCCACCGGCCCGGCAAAGTCGAGGGGCCGTTCCAAGACCTCCCCTGCAACGCTTTCAGTTGGTGCGGCGACGCGGTCTGCTTTGAGCCCGATGCACACAACCACACACAGGTGCGCCGGCGCTGTATGAGCGGGCGCAGTCGCTGGGGTGCCTCGGCCTTGACAGAGTGTCGAGGCCGCTTGCTTGGCAGGGCCGCCTTGATTTGCAGGCCTCGCGGCAATTGTGGCTTTGGCCATGCAGCTGCCCACCTCAGGGGCTAGCAGCCCTCACGTTGCATTCCCACCCTGGGCAATCATGGTGCGTGAAACTGCAGGGGGACTGTTGGCTCAAGTGGACAGAGGCACCGGCAAGCCCAGAGGTGAATCTGTGTGCATCAGATCCAGGCCGTTGCAGTGCGCTTTTGCGCTAGGCATGCAGGCCTGACACACCCTGGCCATTCTGTATTTGGCAACCTGCCCTGAGCTCCTGGCTCGTTTGCGCCATTGCACTTTTCTGGAAATCAACAATTGCACCTATATAAGTTTTGTCATCTGCCAACCGCTGTTCTTCCTCCCTCACGCAGCTCAACATGCGGGGCTCGTTGCCACAGGATTACCGGGCACGCCACCCATCAGCGCCCCGACGCGTCCAGTGGGCGGCTGGCGTCCTGCTGCCGCCGGGTGTTGCCTACACAAATGGCACCTGGAGCCCACGGTGGGCGTGGTAAATGGTGAAATGGAACGCCTGGGGCTGGTGCTTGATTCGAGTGTGTTGGGAGCCCGGCGCCAGCGCCTTGTTTGGCAGGTTGTAGATGCTGAGTGTTGATGTGCAGGTGCGATTTGTACGTCTCTGAGAACTGCCCCTGGAGCTTGGGCAACCCTTGCCCTTTATTTCTACATATGGGTTGATTTGTACAGTTGACAGCATGGGTGTAAAGCACATTGGCAGCACAATAACACCTGCAAAAGGGTGGCACAAAGGCGCCCAGGTACATGCAAGCCGCAACACACTCCAGACTCAACAAAGCTTCATGATCTACACTGGCATATACAAGTCAATTCATGGGCAAACCCGCTAAGCAATGGGGACATTGGTTTTTGTGACCAACAGGAGATCTTCTTGCTTGCGGTGTCCGCTCTTTCTGTTTGGTGCGGCCCGACACATCAATTGTGCAAGCCAGCGGGTGAGCATGTAATCGTATGTGCATGAACCAAGATCAAGCATGTTTTGTGTAAGCCTGGGTCCGCACAACACCAGAGTGTATTGCCCCACATCACGACGATTCTTGGTGCAGATTCGCCGTTTGGTTTCATGAGGCTTCACACGGCACCGACGGCGCGCAGCATTCCGTTGCTGGGGACGGCCGCCGGGTCGGCGGCCTTGAGCGACTGCTCAGCGCCCGCGACAGGCAACCCTTCTGGCAGGAGGCCCAGCTGCTTCAGGACTGTGGCCTGGTCCTGTTGGGTCAATTGGAGGTGTTGAAGAAGGTGCGAGGCAGGGGTAGGGGATTAAGCGCGACTGATGAGGTGACACCAGGCCTCGAAAATGCTAACGGGTTGAAGAGAACAAACACGAGAACAAACAAGAGCGCAGACAGGGGCCTGAATGGGGCTGGCAAACTGTTGGCTGACGGGTTGCTCTCACCCAGTAGATGCGCTCAGCCTTCAGCTGTGCAGGGTGAGGGGATACATGAGAGAGGAGCGGAGGATCGGCGGAAGTCGGTGAGCACCAAGCGGCAGTACATCGGACGTGTGTTGATGCGAGATGAGCCAGCAATCCACAAAGCACTGGCCCCAGCCTTTTGTAGAGGCTTGCCCAGCGCTCCATGTGCCCATCCTGGACACAAGTTTGAAGTTTCAAAGCACTCACCTTTGTGCCCTCAAAGTCGACCACGACAACGAAGGGAACGCTCACACGCTTGCCTGTGGGCGCCACACCAGGCAGCATCCTGTGCGCAGTGACCATGGCAGGCATAGGGCACGAGATACGTCTCAACGTGTCTTGTGCCAAACTGAAAATTTCCACCACCCTGAGCCACTTGATGGCGTGATACGCCCTCCAGGGCACCCCCCTCATAGAACCATTTGCCTCCTCATTTGGGCCATACATGGCCTGATATGGCCCGACCTGAACGTTTCTCACCAATCCATTGGGACGGTGTGTGTGAACTCGAAGAGGAATTCATCCATCACCCGGTGGGCCTGGAAGGATGGGCGTTGCATCCATGTGTGCATCGAAGGACGAACGTTGTGCAGACAAAGGGTCAGAGAAATTCATAGACAAAGCAGGGCATAGGCTCACAGCAATAAGAGGCAACCCTACTGGAAGGTGAGCGAGGGCAGTGCAGCAGCGTATGCTCGGCAGGGGCGTGCTGCAGCGCTAGGCAGCAGCGGGGAAGCGAGAGGTAGAGGGGCCGGGGAGCGCGCACCTCTGGGGCGATTGTGCGGTTGATGGGCTTGATCACGACATCGTTTGGCATCTTGGGGATGAAGTGCCTGGCGTAGAACTCACGCAGAAGCTCCCGGCCCGCACCGCCTGGTTTTGGGAGGCGCAGGGATGCAGGAGCCGCTATAGCGCGTTGCGGGGTGAGCAGGGCATCTGATGCGTGCTGGCAGGCGGGTGCCGCGCGGGATTCGAGCGCTGCGCCATGCCGGCGGGGCGAGAACGCAGTATTCAAACAGCGATTGGTACAGATAGGGGTTCCGATAACGCTTTGCATCAGCAACAAGTTCAACAGGACAGCAGCAAGCAGCGTGGCATGGCAGTTGACAGATGACGTTCCTCACCCATGAGGGTGGGGATGTGGTTGACCGTGGCGTGCTCCACCATGGTGGCCACCGCCGCGTCGGCAGACTTCTCCGTGAACTCTGTGTCGATGTGCGCCTGCCACAGCGCTGCATAGTCAATGCGATCCCCATTGTCGTCAGAGGCGCGCGCCACGACGGAGCGGAGCAGGGGACCCGTGCGCCGCAAGTGGGAGGGCACGGCTGGGCGTGTCTCAACGTAGGTGAAAGCCCTTCGAGAGGCACCGGTGCACATCATTTTTGCGTAAAGATCTCGGGGATGGGTGGCGAGCAGAGGTCTGCAGAATCGTGATTGGGTGTGGTATAGCAAACATCGACTTTTATATATCAAAGCAAGGCTGCGAGCAGGGCCGAAAACATCGTTGCAGTCACACTGGCTTGTGGGTCACTCTTCTCAGACAGCTCTTCTCGTCAGGGCTCGCTGTCGCAGCAGCGGTAGTCCACGGTCCCGTCAGCTTTGTTGGGAATGACAGTTTGTGTGTGGCTGTATGTGTCTCAAGGAAGAGTTGGTGGAAGGCACCCCAGGACTTCCCAACAGCCGCACAGGGGAAAAGGCAGCCGCAGCCCCCTGGAGGGTTCGCGGCCGAGCGGCACCTAGCCCCAACATCTCACAGCAGCGGCGTATGAGCCCTTGGCTGGGCAGGGACAGGCACTGATACAGAGGTCCATTACAAGGATATATGAGCATTCATGGCTATATGAACAGCTCGACCATGCGAACCTAGCGTTACTGCGCCTCCCGCGTAACACGGCTCTTTGAGTGGGATTGCCGCTCAATTGGTCAAGCGGCGGGCAAATTGCCCGAGTGATGGCAGCGACTAGACTGCCCCTAGCGCTGTCTGAGGGGGTGCGTGGGTGTAAAGCGCACTGAGCCTTGGCAAGGACCGCCCCGCCCGTCCTGTCGCTGTTTATCGGCCAATGTCCGGCTGGCGGTGTGTCTATTGAGCGGAGGAGCCTTCCAATAGCAAGGGCACGAGATGCTCACGCGGGGCATATGCGGGCGAGGGGCCTACGTAACGGTCGGCGGACTCAGTAGTATCAAGCGCCCGGTGGTTGCTAGCCAAGACCATGACTAGGGACGCGATTGCGGGTACCTGTTTCTCGCTTGCTGAACACTTGGCGGCCTTGCAGCTCCGCACTGCACCCACCCGCTGCGAGTGAACAACGCTCAGCCATTGGCGGGGTTGTTTGCGCGGCAGGCAGGTCGACGCTGGGCGGCGCAGCGCGGAGTCCTTTGTGCGCTGCTGGGAAGGCGCCGATGCCCGTCGGCACAGGGACTGCTCCCCGCTTGTGCGACTCGCTACTCTGTCTTCTCGTGTGTTTTTCCCCTCGAAATCGCGTCCCGATCGCGCTGTGTCGAGCGGTGACTTCGCGCGCGCTAATCACCTTCAAGCCTCGCATCCACACGGCTTGCTTGGTGACAGGATCCAGCATACGTGGGGATTGCATGCCACCGCGACGGCTATCCAGGGGCGCGTTGTTACGGTTCTATTGTGTGGGCTGCTGATTCATGCTCGCCTGAATCGGTTGGCCAACGACCCGGTTCCATGCAACGACGGCGCCACAAAAGCTTCCTTCTAAATCATTTGCCCGCATTTCGTGCATGAACGCGCGGAGTCACCGGGGGGAGACAGCTACACGGGCAGCGGTCCGCCGTGCGCGCCCATGCTGGTCTATCTGTGTGTCAATCCAAGGTCGCACACTTGCTCTCTCGCTGCTCGCACGTTGAAAGGCACTTTGCGGTCTCGAAGTTTCTGTGATGCGAGCGAGCGGATCACCCTTTGTCACACCATGTCACCCGGCCCGTCGTAGCCCCGGTTGCTGGCGCGCGCACGAAACGCGCCGTATGGGCGGGGCGACCGTCGCAGAACGTGACGCGCGCCGCGCCGATCCCGTCCGCGCGTGGCGTCCGCCGAGCCGGCCCCTCACGCACGCGCCGCGGCCGAGAGATCCCAGGCGCGATTTGGGTGAGATTCGGGCCGCCGCGGGCCGCCCGGCGGCCGTCCGTATTTTTAGGGGCGTGCATACGCATGTTTACAGCGCGCCGAATTTCTGTGACAATTCACAGGGGCTGAGGGGCGGAAACGGCTATGCCCTGCGTCGCTGAGCCCTAAATGGTTACTGCGCCGTAACTACTAGAACCGTAACAAGCAGCCCTAGGATGAAGAATGCAAAATGGCCGCCACGCACGCTTGCTCTGCTCACGCACGCACACGCACGCGCGCACGCGCACGCCACTGAAGCCTGCTCGCTGCGACCGCCTAAAAACGGTCCTCAGACTTCCGCGGCGCGTAGAGTATGCCTTGCGTCCGAGCGGCGCCGCAGCGGCCAACCAGGCAGCTGCGATAGGCGCCTCCATGCCGCAGCCGGTGGTCCGACCCAGCAGCAGGCCACAGAGGGTCTCGGCGTGCCGCCGGCTTACGAGGCCTTGCCCATCGCCAGGGTGAGCTCCGCCTCCACCGCCAGCTCTGTGCCAACGTAGCCCTTGGCGTCCATCTTCACGATGCCAAACCGCTTGTTGAACTTGGTCACCTCCACCTTCATCACCTGGGTGGTCCGGGGCAGGGACAGCAGGGGTGGGGAGGGCGAGGATTAGAGCTGGATAGGGCAGGGGGCGGTGCATTGGCGGGGCAGAGGCGAGAAATCCCCGAGCTGGGCCTCGTCGCACGGCGCTGCGGGTGCTTCTTGCCGCCCTTGGCGCCTGCCAGCAAACCCCTCGGTAGAATGGCTGTCGCTCAGTCGCGTATGCAAACGGCCTTGCGGCGCCGTGCCGCCACTGAATGCGCAAACGACACGCAGCTCGCGGCCGTGCGGCCGCTGTTTCTTGCCCTCGGCCGCCAGCGCAGCCCACCAGCGTGTCGCCGGGCACCACCGGCCGCCTGAAGCGGCAGCCCTCGATGCCGCCGAAGAAGAACTGGTTCCTGGCCGCCTCGTCGCTGGGGTCCAGCATGGCGATGCCGCCGAGCTGCGCCATGGCCTCAATCTGCAGCACCCCTGTCATGGAGGCGGAGGGGCAGGGCGAGGCGCGGCCGCGTTGCCGGACGGCTTGGCGGGGCCGGAGGCCAGAGGACGCACGCATTTTACCTGCATGCCGCGCCGTCTTGCTGTTGTCAGCATGTGCCTGCTGCTGCGGCAGTCATACATCTGAAGGCGCCGCCCCCGCTGCAGCCGTCGCTGCTGCATGTTACGGCGCCGCGCTGCTGGCGCTTGTGCGGGACAAAGAGAGTGCTCCATGGTGCACGCACCAGGCATGATGGCGCGCTCTGGGAAGTGGCCGTTGAAGAACTGGTCGTTCACGGTGATGTTCTTGTAGCCGATGGCGTACTTCTGGGGCACCACCTCCACCACGCGGTCAACAAGGAGGAAGGGGTACCTGCGGGGGCAGAAAGGGGCCGCGCGGCGAGGCGGGGGTTACAAGTGGGCCGGAGGACCGGCACGCAGCTGAGGTAGGCGCCGGTGGCGCAAGCGGTGCGATAGTGTTGTAGTTGACCAATTGAACATTAGCGGCCATGGTGTTGCACAGATGAAATGATGCACAGCAGCGCCCGCCGCATCGTGCTCGCGCCCGACCCCGCGCGCAACGATCCGGGCGGCTTGCCTGTGCGGCAATATCTTCTTGATCTCCTCGATATCCAGGGCAGCCTTCAAAGATGGAAGCAGCTTCTCAACGCTCGTGCCCTTCTCGGGAGCCTCCGCGGGCGAAGCTTGGGCCACCGCCTCGGCCCTGCAACGCACGGCCAGCCGGGATGGACGCACGGCCACAGCGCGCGCTCCAGAGGGCTTGGAGCAGCACGGCTGAGCCGCCTGGCGGGTGATGGCAGCCATCCTGGTTCAATGCGCTAAGGTGACCGGCGAGTTTGGTTTTGATCTATTGCTTCTTTAGGCCTTGTCGATTGAGAAAGCGGACGTTGACTCGTATGTACACGCAATTGACTGCCCGGCAGGTGCAGTATTGCAGATGCTTGCAGGCAGCTGCAGCAGTGCGCCTGGTGCCGCGGCGGCGTCCTTGGCGCATGGGCTTGCAACGCGTGTGTTTGATACGCGGATGCATCCTGGAAAGATGCTGCAAGCTTATGTGATACATACTTGCCAACCTACGCGTGCCTGCATGGTGTTGTTGGGCCCAGCAGGTTTCAAAGGAGTTGACCAGGTGCCCAGTCAACCCATCAGCCATGCCTTACAGGGGCGCATGTATTTCTGTTACAGACCGTTGCCGTACCGCATGCTTGCCAGGCTGCACAGGCTGCGCAGGGCTTATGGGCCAATGGGCCCCTCCCAACCCGCTCCTTGCAACAACTGCCATTCGTCAGATTCGCCACACCAACGCCACCTGGCGCTCTCAAAGCTTCGCGTGCGCCCCGCCCGCCGCCGCCACCGCCGCCCCCGGCCGCAGCAGCGCCGCCCGCAGCCGCCGCATCTCGTCGGCCGTGAGCCCCGCCCCCAGCAGGTACGCCTCGACGCCGCCCGCCGTCCGCCTCATGTGCTGCAGCGCGTGCCGGATCGCCTCGGCGGGGGCGCGCTCAAACTTCGCCCTGTCCAGCGCGGCGGCGCGGCTGTCGTTCTCAATGCCGGCGAGGGCCACGTGGTGCCACTCGTCCGACTTGACGTAATCAGCAATGATGCGGTCCTCGGGGACGCCCAATATGGACAGCAGCAGCGCCGCCAGGATGCCCTGAGTTGGTTCCAGCACGCGAGTCGTGATTGTAAGTGGGCTCGTGCTGCGACGGAAGGCCTAGAGGCGGCTGGGCCCTACGAGCTGCACCCCACCCTGCCATGACCCCTTGACCAGGCGCAACATATAGCCGCTTCCCCCAGAGCCCTGTCTTTCTGCCCACCGTGCGGTCCTTGCCGGCTTTGCAGAAGAACAGCACAGGCCGCCCCTTCTCCGCAGCAGTCAGCACACGCTGCGCAAGAGGGCGGAGAGAAGGCAAGGGCGTGGGAAGGTTTGGAGGCGCGTTGCCGCGAGCCTTGAGCAGCAACGCGTAAGAGGCAACCGGTAGGTTGCCATGACCGCGAGCTTGCGCAAGGCAACAGCGCAGCCGGGCGGTGCGGCAAATCGTCACAGCAACACGAGGCCCGCCGCACCTGCAGCGCGGCTACCCACTCCATCTTGGCCGTGTCCAGCAGGATCTCATACAGCCCCTCCAGGCCCGCGGCGTTGACCTCGCTGGGGTGGGGGGGGGGGAGGGGAGTTGCAGGGGAGGAGACAAGCGCACGGCGCGAGCATCGGCGCACTCAGCAGCGCGATGGCGCCGGACTTTCCTCCATCAACAACCACAAATGCAGCTGATCTCACATGGTGCCGGCCCCAAGCACAGACCCAGCCTCTGTCAGCCCAGAGACACAAGCTCCCCTTCCACGCAATCGCTACGCGGGGCCCACTCCGTCCACCGCAGCCTGCCGCTGCGCCCTCGCACTTGATTGCCGCCGCCCGCCCCGCTTCCTTGTTGACAATGGAGGTGGCCACGACGTACGCGGCGGTGCGCAGGGGCATGCGGGAGATCAGGGAGCGGTACAGCCGGTGCCTGCGGGGGCAGCACGCGGGGGAGCGTAGGTTTTAACACAGGTGTTCTCAAGCAAAGCAAGCACTCAAACACGGGAGCTTGGATGGTGAGGGATAAATTCGACAGGCCACGGGTGAACGCAGCCGCACGAGCGTCCATGCTGGTGTGCGATTGAGGTTGAGAGCCATCTCATGAGCCACCACTCCCCCTTCTACAGCGGGCTCACTTCTCCAGCGGGGGGATGTGCACCCTCATTATGTCCTTGTCGGTCACGGTGGTGGCCAGCGGGTTGGGAACGGACTACAGCACAGGGGCCAAGAGGTTAAGGGGGGTGTTGGGTCAATGATTTGCAGAGCACATTTGGGCAGGTAAGCCAACCCTGGGTGCACTGAACTTGCAGGGGAGACTGCACGCAGGCTTGACAGACGGCTGCATGGCGTGCATCCAAGCATTTACAGCGCCTCCAGTAGAGCCGACCCTGAAGAAGTGCGGCGCTTGTGCGGCCGCTCGCCCCATGACGCCGACGCACCCGGTTTGTGACGTAATCCCTCACGTACTTGCAGAATCCAATACCCTCAAACACAGTGAAGTGCTGCACATGCGCAGCCACGGGCGAAGGTGGCGCAGTTTAATGGTTTGAAGTCGACAGGTCAGGTTCGGCACGGAACCAGCACGCATCTGCACATCAGGAGCAGCCTTTCGCCCTGTGTGGCCCGCTCCGAAAATCCCTGCGCCGCGCTTTTAAATGGCTGCTGCTGACTGCAGACCCTGGCCCTTGCTGCGCTCTAGCGACACCGCACCATCTTGTTTGAACGTTTTCCCCAGCTGCGTGGAACACGCAGGGAATGCGCCGATGGCGCACCTCGTCTGGCAGATTGCTCAGCTCGTCGCTGCTGCGCAGGTCAATCAGCTCCTTGACGCTCAGATCGTTGTACAGCTGCCGCACGTCTGCGGGCGTCGCGAGGACCGGCGCAGCTGCGCGGAACACTCGGCCTAGGTGCGCGTGAGGATGGCGAGGGGCGGATTGAGAACCGCTATTCTCAAGTTGCTGCTGCAGGTTGGCGCAGTCAGACTGCAATCCCATTTTTCTGCAAACGGGCTCGCATGGCAACGTGCAACGCCCGCACGCATGGCTTGCCGAGATGTGACTGCATGCACACGCATGCTGGTGCACGGATGTGACAGCACGCGCCCAAAGCCTGCCTGCTGCGCGTGCTAGTTTGAAACGACACATTCTTGCGCTCTGACGGGCCCGCCCTCCCTCCCCCACCCGGCAGAATTCTGGGGTCCGCATCAGCGATGTCGCGGAAGTTGTGCACGTCGTCCCACCGCGCCGCCACCGCGTGCCCAGGCGACGGCGCCGAGGCCTCATGGGTGGTGCCGTTGCTGCTCGCACGCGCCGACGATGCGCGGGTCTGCACCATACGGGATAGCGCGCTCCGCACAGGGGGCCCACGAAGGGCGTGCATCCAAGGGCCCCGCGGGGACGCTCCTCTCTGACTAGGCTGTGGTGTTATGCGCGCCAGTCGCGGCGTCGCTGATGCCTCGCCGCACGCCGCAGCTACCGCCGTCGCGGTGCCCCGGGCGCACTGGCGCGTCTGCCACAATCACGAGGTTTTTGGGGTCGCCTTTGATGTACTCAACGCACCAGGAATGTGTTATTACCGTTCTTCACCAGTCCTCGTCTGAAATCTCCCTGACGATCTGGTTCGGTGTAGTGTCAATTGGAGTATCTGAGCTCAAGTAGCAAAACGCGCCTCCCAGCGTATGGACACGGACAGCACACCTTCAACGCGGCTCGTCGTCACTATTATGAGTGTGATGCCCACTTTTGCCCACGGTGCATGCAATTGCAGCCTACAATGAGAAATCTGCTGGTTTTTGTGCTGTTGGTGTGGCTAGGACATTTGCGCCTCCATGCGGCCCTGGTCAACCAGTCAACACAGTTTCTTGCAGTGCAGTGGTTGCGGTGTGTAGAGCAGGTACGGCGCGCATGCGTCACAGCAAGGCATGCGTGCATTGAACAGCGGCCTGGGGCAGCGCCTGGGGCAGCGCCTGGAGCAGCGCCCAGTGATGCTTGCTGGCTGGGCGCTGCCCCAGGCGCTGGCCCAGGCCGCTGTCCAATGCACGCATGCGTAAAGGATGTCCATAACGTTGGGGTGGGGTATGACGCGCATTTGCATTGACAAAGGCACCACCAAGAATGCAGCTGCGAGAGGCACACACCCAGCGGCAGCACGCTCTTGAAATTGATGGCTTCATCTGTGGTGGCAGTGTAATGTCATGTGTTCAATTGTGATAATAACCAAGCAGAATACAAGATTCGGAAGATATTGCATGAGAAATCTCTGTGCGAAATCATACCTCAAGGCTAGCTGCATGCACCAATACGTTGGGGACATGTGGACAATGCTCAATCAGGGTGTGGCAGGGGCGATTGCACTGGCGATTGGAGGCATGCAGCACACACTGTTTGCGCCATTCACTCAGGCTGCGACTGCAGAATGGGCAGGAAGCATACACCCAGGTTGGCAATCCAGCAATGAGGCTACCTACTCAAAGTGGCTGGTGTTTGGTCTTGCCTTGTAGGAGCTGGTATGGGCAATGCAAAGCCAAAGACAGGAGCTGGTTAGAGCCCCGGACAGGACCTGGAGCTGGTGACTGCTGGGCAGGTGCGTGGTTGGTGCATCACAACGCCAAAGGTGGCAGTCGGGCAGGGCAAGGAGTCTACATTGGGGGATGCACCTCAGTCAGTGCTGGTCCACGCATGAATCTGAAGAGCACTTCAGTATGGGGTGCCTACGTGCGTCAACCTGTGGGGCACGGCGGCACGCACCAGCCGGGCAGTTGTGCTGACAACAGGCAGTTGGGGTGGCAGCTTCTCGACAATGGGTGCATCACGCCGGCTCCGCTTTTGGATTGAACGGGAGTGCAGTTTATTCCGTTGACCATCGTGACATCATACTCGCTTGCGCTGGCTGCATTTCGCGATTGATTGTTGCGTCACTGATCTCCGCCTCTAGCACGATGTTCAAGGGCCGCAAACGCACGCTCTTGCATTCACAGGCAGGAGTCACAGCCGCACATGGAAGCACCCCGGCGAAATCTGCGCCACTGCGGCGCACGCCATCAGCCGCAGCGCTGCCCCCGCTGAGGGGCGCGGCGTCGAGCAGGACGCAGGCACTGGCCACGTTCCATGGCCTTGTGGCTGCGGAACGAGATGATGGTGGCAACGCCAATGGATCTGGACGCATGGAGCCGCAGCCGGCCGTGGCGACCCCCGCCGGTCCTGTGCCGCCGCCAGCACCGCCGCCAGCGCCGCCGCCCGCAGCAACGCCCCCGGCCCCCGCTGCACAATGCGCGGCTGCCGCTGCCATGCCCGTAGCAGACCCTTTAGACGCAGCACCCTGTGCGCAGGCTCCAGCGGCCGTCCCCGCGCCGCCGCTCAGCCCTGGAGCCGCGGCGCGCCGCCTGCCGCTCGCTCTGGAAGCGCTGCGACGGTGCGCAGAGCGCCTGGCAACGAGTGAGGGCACTTACCTGTATCAGCACCACGATGACCTGACGGCTGCGCGGCGGCAGCTGGACGTGTGCGCCACGTGCCTGCCGGCGCTCCTCAGCGGTGGTGCCGGGCAGCCCGGCAGCCGCTGCGGCGATCACGGCCGCAACGCGGCGCCCCAGTTGCTTGAAGCCAGCGCCTGCTGCTGGGTGAGGCTTTTGGGCTGCTGCCGCCAATTCCCTTATGTCTCTTCGTTGCATAATATTCTGGCATGATATGGCTGCAGGTCCTGCTTGGCATCGCCGCCTCACGCGGCCGTTATCGCAGTCTCAAGTGCTTTACAAGACCATCGCCGCCATGCTTCCCCAACTGCACGCACCGCCCACCCATCAGGCTGTGTGCTGCACCATCCTGGCTCATCACAGCCAGGAGGCATCAGCATCAGACGAGGCCATGCCCTACCACGACACTGCAAGGTGAGGATTCCAGGAAATAGAAGGGCCACGACCTGCGCATGAGCGCCGTGCATGATTGCATGTCGGACCTCAGCCCCCACTGCAGGCAGCTTACAGACTCTCGCATGGGGCCTGTGAATGGCTGGCGGCTTGCCCTGGACGTGCCTGCCCCATGCTGCGAGCTGCATGCATGCCAAGCATTGCGCGGGGCCCATTCTCACCCCGTGTGCATGCGGTCGCAAATCACATCTGCAGGCAGATGTGGGCAGCCGCATGCGAGCGTGGTGATGACGAGCCGCCGACTGACCTAGGCCCTGACGAGCTCCTGACCATGCTGACGCCCCTAGCGGAGGTGCGACAGGCACTATATCTGGGTGTTTCCAGCCGCCCTTGAGCCGTTTAATCTTATAATAGGAACCCACCGTCAGCCTGCAGCCTGACCTGCCATGCTGCCCGAGAGCATGCGCGTCAGCCACACAACCACGAGGTTGCCTGCCCGCCCAGCACAGGCAGCCAAGGCCTGGCTCTCTGTCGGCCGCCCCGACGCCGCCGGGTGGCCCTGCCAGCGGCTGCGAGAGCGGCTGCCAGCACTTGAGGCGCTCGGCTCAGACCCCAGCCAGGCAGCCGATGTGCGATGCGCGGCACAGCTCCTGCAGTTCCACGCACTACAGGGCAGCATGGTGCTGGCGGGCAACGCCGGCCACCAGGCGAGCACATGCAGAGCTGCTGCAGTGTTGCTGAGCAATTGTTGCAGTTGTTTGGAGCTACGTTGTTTGTTTGTGTTGCCCAAGTGCCCTTGCGGATACAACATTATCTCAAGCACAGCAGCTGTCCATATTGACACTTGTCTACCCTTGCAAGAGCTCATGTTTGGCTGGGCCCTGATCAAACCCCACACATTGTCAGGCACTCTGGTCAAACCTGGTGGCCCGCATGCAGCGCCTCCTGGACGTCTGCCTCCTACCCCCCTCCGACACAGCCCTACTCTGCCAAGAATTGGCCGAAACCTTGGCCGCCCAGGCCGCGGCCGCTCCCATCCACGCTGCTGGCGGCGCCGGCGCGCCGCGCTTGGGCGCTGGCCGCAGCGCCGCGCAGCTGCTGCAGTGTGCAGAGGGACTGCTGGCCCACTGCCTTGCGCTCGTGAGGGGGCTGGGCCAGGAGGGGGACGGGCTGCTGGACCAGCTCGGTGGCCAAGGACCGGCGCAGCGTGCGCGCAAAGATCGTGTTGCTTGGGACCAGGGCCTGGAAGAAGCGCTGGCGGAGGTAAGGAAGGGGGAGTGCATGATGGGGGCACAGGGTCACGTCAAGTTTTGGTCACATGCAGAGCGCACCGGCCCGAATGCAGCGGGCATCCGCTCGATCATTTGGTCAACTGCAAGAGAGCCAGCTGGAGGCGATAAGCTCACTGGGGGCGGCTGCACGTTTGCACCCAACACATCCACGTACGATGCCGCAGGTCCGCCTGCGCACCGCCGACGCCCACCTCGACGCAAAGAATCCCCAGCTTGCCCTAGAATGCGCCACGGCGGCCTTGCAGGGCGCGGGCGGCGCCCGACCGCGAGCCGCTGCCGTAGGCGCGCGCGCTTTGAAGCTGCTGATCCGCGCACACCTGGCGTTAGGGCGGCATGAGCAGGCAGCCGATGACTTGTGCGCCTGGCTCGCTTCCGGCTGCCCCGACGCACGCGCGTGCTGCGAGGCACTCCGCGCGTTTGCCGCGGGCTGCGACATGGCACACGCCGGGGATGCGCGGCTGCTGCTGCGCACAGCGATGGCGGCGTTGCGGGCGTTCCCTGGGCGCCACGACCCTTCCATGGTGCTGGCAGAGCTGTTGTTGGCTCATCAGGTGGGCAGTGCCTTTTTCACTCTGAAGGCTGTCTGCAGCTGCAGTAGTTGTGTGTGTCGGGTTTACACTGTTTGCTCATCCACATTGCAGGAGGCTCATTGTAGCGGTTTCAAGTGGTGCAGGGGTGTCCAAAGGTCGCGCTTCGACAATACCGTAGGCACGTCTGTGCGACTAATCCCTGGGAGCCGCATGTCGTGGGCCTTTATTGTGCAGAATGATGCGCAGCCCTCTGCGGCCGACAGCGTGGCGCTGGAGATCCTGGCGGACGATGACGCAGCAGAAGCCGTCAAGAAGGTGAGCCGGCTGGTCCCACCTGCGGCGCCTCCTGCTGGGCGGCCCGCGCTGGGCAAACCCACGTCCCGCGTCCAGCTGTGTGCCTGCAGCCGCGCCCCAGGCAGGGGACAGCAATGGCAGCAGCCCGTGACGCCGAGAGTGTGTGCCGGTCAACCTCAGCGACGTCGCGTGCTTGTTTCCTTCCCACCTGCGGCGGCCAGTCGCGAATTATCCCTCCTCTTCCCTATGCCGAAAACTTCCTCCTTTCATCAGGTCCCCGAGGCCCGCGCGCGCTGCCACGCGCTGCTCTACTCTCGAGGCCTGTCCCTCCACACGCGGCGCCACCCCGCAGCCGCT